GTTCTTGTCCCAGGAAGGCCCTCAAGGTCAGGATTTGACCTGAGGCTTAGTTCACTACAGAGAGAACATGCAAACTCCACCCAGAAGGCCCCTGGACCGGGGTTTGAACCAGGGACATGTTCGCTGAGAGGCAGCAGCTCTACCAGTTGTGCCACCGTGCTGCCCTATTTTGAAAATAAAAAATTAAAATTAAAAAATAAAATTAAAATTAAAAGTAAACTAAAGGTTTAGAGTAAAATTCAAATTGTTTTATAGAATAGTTTTTAGTAGGTTTTAACATTTTAAACAGGGCAAGTTTTAAGTATGGATTTGACAAAAGAAATCTTGCTAAAGAAAAAAAAAGTTGCAAATACTTTTTGATCACTTCCTCAACTATGATATCATACAATAGGATTTTCTGTTTTCCTGTTTATGAAACTTTAATAAAGCACAACTTTTTTTATGTTTTATTAACATAAACATGTATTCTATGTGAAAACAATAGCATTATAATATTTACAGCATATGTCAAAAAACCTCACTTCTGCTAACTTTAATAGTAATCTAATTTATTTCTCCTCTCAATAATCTTTTGCACCTGTGACAAGATATAAAACTTGAGTGGCATAAACTTACATAACCCACTCCAAATGGATGATGAAAGAGGTCACAGGTTTGTACCATAAAATCCCTGTTCTTAAACAGCAGATAACAGGGTTACAAAATCACAGTGCACTTTATACCCGTTTTGTGAACTCAGCTATTAAAACAATTTGATCAAATAAGCTTACAAAACTGTGGACACAAGTTAAAAAAGGAATCAATTTTTGATTTGCAGATTTTCAGAGCAGCTTTAAAAGGACAAAACCACTCTAAAGTTGGAGTTTGGACTCATAAATCAAAGTGATTCACTTAATTGAGAAAAAAAGGACAGCTGCTGCCTCAGTCACTAACAGGTATGTGAATTTCTAAAAACCTATGAGTTAAAGATTGAAATGTAGCTATCCCCATATACAAAGGACTTGACACTGTTTATGTTTATATGTATGAGAAAAAAGGTCCTATATTGACTAAGCATGTCTGTAGGAAACATTTAAATAATTGAAACAATACAAATATTATTTTTGTTGCTTGAGTTGATTCTGTGTTCTTGTGGTTCTGCTGTCTGAAGAAAATAAGCATTTAGAATTGTATGTTGTTTAAGCTTATTATGTGGTCCCTTTTGATTGGCTGTTGACTAATGGGTTTAAAGAGGACAAAATCATTTGTTTTTTATAGAAGTCTGGCATCCCTAGAGTAACTCAGTCTTTTGACCATCACTTTCTATTTGTTTTGAATCTGTATGCTTTTTTTTTGCGTATCTTTTCTTATTACAAAGTACATCCAATAAAGACACAAGCATAATCGTTGGATTCAAGACCTTTGTTTTAAATAAATGTGTCACGTACGAAAGAGCTTTAAGGGGCTAGAATAATGAGAGCTTGCCACACTTACAGTGTCTATTTCTGTTCTTGACATTTTAGGAGCCATGCCTTCGCATCCTGTTTGTAGGATCTTTATGATATTTAGTTTATGTGAGATTTTCTTCGCACCACAATGCAATGGGGGAAACATTCTGGTGTTACCTGTCGACGGCAGCCACTGGATCAACATGAAAGTACTCCTGGAAGAACTTCATGCCAGGGGACACAACATGACTTTGATCAGGCCCTCCACAAGCTGGTACATTCCAGAAAACTCTCATCTCTTCTCAACCATTACAGTTCAAATACAAGAACATTCCATGGACATTCTAGATGTGTTCATAGAGGAGCAAATGAGGGTAAGGGATTATATATCTACACATTTATTTATATGCTGTATGTCATTCAATCAGATATGCTGATACACTGTTCATTTCCCCCAAATTGTTTTCAGGCACAGAGAGAAGGGGCTTCACTGCTGACTTTGTTCAAAATCACCAAAAGCTATTTTTCTATGGTTACTAAAGGCCATTTTCTTTGGTGTGATGCTATTACTCAAATTTTTGATAATCCAGAAATGGTCAAAAGTTTAAAAGATTCATCGTTTGATCTTGTTCTTACTGATCCAGGAGTAGGTACAGGGGTTGTGTTAGCCAAATATTTGAAATTGCCTTTAGTCCTAAATGTGCGCTGGATTACCAGTGGAGAGGGCCACTTTGTGTTGGCCCCCTCACCTTTTTCTTACATCCCAGTTCCAGGATCTGGCTTAACAGACAAAATGAATTTCATCCAGAGGGTCAAAAACATGCTCTTCCACAGCATCATATGGTTTCAGGAGAAATTCTTGTTGGGGCCTATCTATGATGCCATATGTGAGAAGTATATAGAGGGTGGTTGTGACATTGTCTCACTGCTTCAAGATGCAGACATCTGGTTGTTCAGGTCAGATTTTGTGTTTGATTTCCCTCGGCCGACAATGCCAAATATTATTTACATTGGAGGGTTCCAGTGCAAGCCAGCCCAGCCTCTACCAGCAGAACTGGAGGAGTTTGTTCAAAGTGCTGGAGAGCATGGAGTGATCGTCATGACTCTGGGAACTTTTATACATGCATTGCCAAAGGAGGTTGCAGAAGAAATGGCCAGTGTCTTTGCCACGCTTCCACAAAAGGTAACAGTTGTTACTGAATCAACTTTTATTGGATATGCACTTGATTTGGATACTTTTGTATTATGCTTATGCATTTGGTCATTGACTATATCAGTGACGGTAAAAGAAAAAAATGTCAAAACTTTTGGTCGCAGATCTGTCTGAGAACTTTTAAGATGACTAAAAACTCGAATTTACAACTAATACAATACAAAATCCTTCATAGAGTACACTATACAGGTCAACGGATGTTCAAGATGGGTTTCGCATCATCTAATATTTGCTCACAGTGTACAGACAATATTCCGGACAATTACATCCATGCATTTTGGTTCTGTCCACCTGTTCAGAGGTTTTGGTGCCGGATATGTGAAGACTTATCAAAGTGTCTGAGATGTAATATTCCACTCTCTCCATCAGTTTGCTTATTGGGCCACTTAGATGATGTCACCTTGGAGACAAAATCAATTCATATTATTCTCACTGCCCTATGTATAGCAAAAAAAACTATACTCATGAATTGGAAAAATAAAAATACACTTAGTATTAAACAGTATAAAGACCTTCTGTTAGATTACATAAGTCTTGAGACAGCCTGTACCCCCACATCAGACTATTCTCTCTGGACTTCTTTAATCGGCTCCAACACGTAGTGGAGGTGGGTGGTCCCCTTTGATTCTGTCCCGTGGGGCATGGTGGTCGGTGTGGGTGGGGTGTCGGGGCTGGGGACGTGGGGGGGGGTGTCATGGGCCTGGAGCGGTGGCGCCCGACTGGGGAGGAAAAAAAAAAAAAAAAAGTCACAAATTCCTGTTAAAATTTAATTAGTTAACTAACAACGTGGTTACATAAGTCATCAAATCAACATCATTTTTAAAGAAGGATTTGATTTTAGGAAACTTTTTTTATATATTTAAAGATTATTGAAACTTGATTGATGTCATCAATGTTTATAAAGCCTGCTTTAAAACTGAATATAGGCAATGACTAACTTATCTAAAAGTTCCTGATTCATGCTGAATAACCCAGGTAGAAAAATCCAACAAAGTTATGTCAGGTCCTCTGGACCATTTCTTTTTTTGTTGAAAACTTTCATATTTTATCCAAAAGACTTCATTAGTCTGAGGAGCTGCAACAAACTCAGTCTTATAAATTGCAACTTCTCATAGTAGGTCAACCAGTTTGATGGTGCTCCGGTGGTTTCTGCCCTCTCCCCCGCTGACTCGTTTAAGGAAGTCATGGCCAAAGTGGTTCAAAATATCCTGATTCATGCTCAGCAATCCAGGTAGAAAAATCCAACAAAATTGTCAGGTCCTCTGGACAGTTTCTGTTTGTTGAGACGTTTCGTCTACAGCAACCATTTGAGCAACATAAAACTAGATGACCCACTATGAGAGGGTGCATTTTATAAGACTAAGTTTGTTTCAGCTCCTCAGACTGATGAAGTCTTTTGGATGAAAATCAAACGTTTCAACAAAAACAAAACATCCAAAGGACCTGACTTAAGGTTCAAAGTTCAAAGTGACTTTATTACCATTTGCATCACATGTGGTACATGAGGTGGAACGAAATTGTTTACTCAAGGCCCTAGTTACACTCAAGAATAGCAAAAATATAAAGTATAAAAAAGAACGTTCACAATGGTCTAAGATATATGCTAAACACTAATAATGTAATACAAAGTATAATAGGGTGTGTTAAACAGCAGCCTGAACATGAGACTGTTGTGAGCATATGAATACAGCAGCTTAAAGTAAGAAATCATCATCATGGATAATCAGCAGCACAGATAAAGTGTCAAATCTCCAATTAAACTGACATTACTGTGATTTTTCTCATAGGGATTTATGAGTCTAACAGCTTCAGGATAAAAACTGTTCCTCAGTCTAGTGGTTCTACAGTTAATGCTCCTCAACCTCCTGCCTGAGGGGAGCGGGGCAAAACGTGTGTGCTGGGTGAGTGGGATACTTCATGATCCTTCATGTGGCCCTCTTCCTGCATCTGCAGGTCTAGATGATTATGATGATATGGAGGCTGAGTCAATAGACTTTTGTGCAGTCTTCACCACTCTCTGCAGAGCTTTTCGCTCTCCAGCTGTGCAGCCCCATGTGAAGTGTGTTTGCTCCTTCTGAAATCCACAATCTTCTCTTTTGTCATTTTCACATTGATGGGGAGGTTGTTCTTCCTGCACCAGATGTTCCACTTCCTGTCTGTAGCCGGGCTCATCATTATTTGTGATGCATCCAGCCACTACTGTATTGTCTGCAAACTGTACAATATGACAACCTGGATGGGTAGGTGCACAGTCATATGTGAGCAATGTGAACAGGAAGGGGCTCAACACACAGCCCTGAGGGGAGCCAGTGCTGAGGATTATGGTGGAAGAGAATAATTTGTGGATCCTCACAGACTGGCCTTTTGATTAAGAAATTCAGGACCCAGTTGCATAGGAAGCGGCTTAGTCCTAATGTGAGTAATTTATCCATCGGGGTCTGGGGATCATGGTGTTGAAGGTAGATGTGAAGTCCACAAAGAGCATAGGGATGTAGGAGTCCTTCTGCTCTAGGTGGGTGAGAGCAGTGTGGACCACAGAGGAGTTAGCATCTTCTGTTGATCGATTCTTGCGGTATGCATACTGGTGTGGGTCCTCACTGATGTTGATGGTTGTTTTGATGTGGGCCATGACCAGTCTTTCAAAGCACTTGGCGACTATCGGGGTGAGGGCTACAGGCTGGTAGTCATTCAAACTAGTCACTGCAAAGCTCTTAGGAACTGGGAATACAGTGGTGGTCTTCAGGCAAGTGGGAACAGTTGCCAGGGTGAGGGAGGAGTTAATTATATTGGCCAGCACCTCACAGAGCTGATCAGCACAGTCACTCAGTCCTGCAGTATAGAGTCACTGTTGCTAGACCATAGAGTGATTATCTTTTGTGTGGTTCTAAAACTTCAGCAGGGGGGTGGTAGACAGGCTGGAAATATGGAGATGTGGGCAGAGAGTCCAAGGTGGGGGCATGGTATGGCTTTATATGTGTTTTGTATGTTGGTATAAACACAGTCTAGTGTGTTATTTCCCCGTGTTGGTATGGTGACATGCTGATAAAATATTGGTAGAGTGTCTTTCAAGTTTACGTGATTAAAGTCACCAGCCACCACATTAAAAAGCATCCGGATGACATGATTTAAACTTTTTTGTTTTTATCTACCTGGATGGTTGAGCTTACAAACCTTTTTTCCTCCCGATGCTTATTTTGAAGCGAGCTGATGTTATCATTTAGCTCCCTCAGTGCATCTTTAGCATTACCATCTGGTGCTATATAAACACTGATGATATACACAGCTGTAAACTCATGAGGTAAATAATGTGGCTGACATGTCACAGTGATTTGTTCTACAGCCTCAGAGCGGGTATTGTTTATCAGAATACAGTTTGTACCCCAACCTTTGTTTACGTAGATACATAATCTGCATAATCTGCATAATCTTTGTTGGATTAAATAAAAGTAGTTGTTCTGTTGAGCATGTTATTGTTAAACATCATAGTTAGAACTAAGATTGATACAATGATCCTATCTGTCTGCATCTTTTTTTGACTAGGTGATATGGAGGCACAAAGGGGAGCGTCCCGTCATGCTGGGCAACAACACTCTAATGACGGACTGGATGCCACAGAAAGACCTTCTAGGTCACTCACAGGTCAAACTCTTCATAGCTCATGGAGGAACAAATGGAGTACAAGAGGCCATTTACTATGGGGTTCCTGTTCTTGGTATTCCTCTGTTCTTTGATCAATATGACAATCTAATACGTTTACAAGAAAGAGGAAGTGCAAAGATCCTTAAGCTAGCTGATTTTAATGGCCAAACATTTAAAGAAAGTATTGAAGAAGTGCTTTATAATGACAGCTACAGGCAAAACATGCAAAAACTGTCACGTTTACATAGAGATCAGCCAATGGCTCCTATGGATAAGGCTGTCTTTTGGGTGGAGTATGTGATGCGCAACAAAGGGGCTTCACACCTGCGCACAGAGGCCTATACGATGCCCTGGTACTCATACTACTCTATTGATGTAGTACTCTTCTTGGTAACTGTAGTAACTCTGATTCCCCTCTTTATTTTTGCCACAGTTACAGTTCTCTGTTGCACTAGAAAACAAAAGGCAAAAAGTAAACTAAATTAACTTCAAACAATTGTTTTCAAAAGTGCAGTTTACTTTTTGATTCAAAAGTATCATATTCAGACATACAGAAATATTCTATAATAAATGCTTAATGAAAAAAAGAACAAGTTCAGTGTCAAAAGCTATAGCAAGCTTTAGTAATATACAAGGTAAAATGTGAACTCAACATAATTGTTAAATTTAATAACTGATCATTTTCTTACATTGTACCAGCAAAAGTGCAAACTGTCTTTTCAAAATAAAACTGTGATAAGTTGTGTTTTGTATTTTATTTTGTCTGTGTTCCTGTCCATTTCGCTTGTTCTTCCTCTCTCCTCACATCTGTTTGTTTAACTTAAAATCTGATCCTCTGTCACTGCATTTACAGTCGGCTCCCAGTCACTCTTCATTACTTTGAACCTGACCTCCACTTTTGATAGTAAAGTGTTTGCATGCAGCTTCCTTTATACAAAAAATGGCAAACAAATTCTTGCCAGTGGGGTAAAGATAATGGATGGATGGATGGTTGAGATGAAACCTTTTAAATTTGAGCACATTTTTACGTTTATTTTGTTAGTTCTGTAGTTTGATTTTTGTCACTAATTATTTAGAAGAACATGTTAATTTGGTTCTCAGTGAGGCACAAGCAGTCAGGTTGAAAGAAAAAAAATGTTCTGTGAGATCCCTATGCTATTTCAAAGCAAGAAACAACAAAGCTGATTACAAATTTGTAACATATGTAAGATTTTGTATCTTTACCAAAATACAATGGGTGGTTGTCATAAAAAACAAACTTTGTTCAGCCTTTTTAGGCCCAAGAAGCAAAGCGCTGCGGAGACTTATTGTAACCGCTCTGTTTATTTCTACTTGTTTTTTTTCTGTGTGTGTGTGGTTGTGTATTCTTACCTAACTACTTTACATACTACTACTACTACTACTACTACTACTACTACTACTACTACTACTA